CATGGTTACAGTTTTCCCCAATGCCTATTACCTATATTAAATGGTGATTTTCTATCTTTTATATGGTACATTACGTGTTACATGGTTACAGTTTTTCCCAATGCCTATTACCTATATTAAATGGTGCTTTTCTACTCTAAACCAATCTGTGAGTGCCAACATCACCAAGAACATGGAGGTAAAGTGTTGGAACGGAAAATGTCTCTCAGACATTTTTAGAGGTTCCAGGCCCAGGTCAGAAGCATTTTAGACCCTGGCAGGCAGCTGCAAACAGCTGTGATTTTGGGTTTGAGCCATGGAATGAGTTACCAACTTTGGAGGTGGAACAAGCAGTCACAAAGGGTTAGATAGTATAGTAAAAGTAGTTACAAAACAGAGGGGAAAATTTTTTTAGTAATGTACAGGGGGGTTTTAGCACCTGTCCAGGGGAGTTTTTACTTTGTACATGGGGGTCAGAAGTTCTAAGATGGAGGAAAGTGGGCTGATCCTGTTCTTCCTCCTTCTTCTTCCTTGCCTCCATGTTCTTGGTGATGTTGGCACTCACAGATTGGTTTAGAGTAGAAAAGCACCATTTAATATAGGTAATAGTCATTGGGAAAAACTGTAACCATGTAACTCGTAATGTACCATATAAAAGACAGCAGCAGCCCTGGGTGGGAGAGAAGAAGCAGTCGGGGTCAGAGAGGATGTCAGGGTGTGTGTGTGCCTCTGCCTGAGCTGTGAGCAAACCACAGCAGCCCAAGGAGAAAATCTTTTAGATAACTTGCAATAAACTGCCTTGAGACTTAACAACAGAGACTGCTGAGCCTTTCTTGGGAAGCTCGGGCTGGAGGAGAGACTTTTCCAGCACACAAGACCCCAGACCAAGCCCAGGGCTCTCACAGTAAGGAAAAAGAAAGAGGGAGGACAGGGCAGGCCCAGATCCCTCAATCTTAAACTTCTGACCCCCATGTACAAAACCAAATCCCCCCTGTACAGCACTCAAAAATTCTTCCCTCTACTTTGTGACTACTTCTACTCTAATATCTAAACTTTTGTGACTCCTTGTTCTTCCTGCAAGGTTGGTAAATGATTCCATGGCTCAAACCCAAAATCACAGCTGTTTCCAGCTGTGCCAGGGTCTCAAATGCTTCTGACCTGGGCCTGGAACATCCAAAAATGTCTGAGGGACATTTTGAGTTCCAACAGGGGAGATAAAAGGGTCAGCCAAGCTCCTGCCTGGGTTAAAGCTGCGTGTTCATCCCTGTGCTCCTCTCCTCTGGCTGCTCTGTCCCAGCCAGGGCTGATCCCAGCTCTTCACTGCTCTGACTGCTCAGCACCTGCATGGTGCAAGTGCCAAGGGAAATCTCACCTTGTTCATCTCATGAGAAAGGAGGAGAGCATTAAGGACTCTCTCAAAGCATTTCTGCCCTGAAACAGAACCTAGACATTTCTTAAAACCAGATTGTTTTGGAAACAAAAGGCTTCTCTTCCAATCCTTGGCTTTAGTCAGAACCATTGTGTGCTGGTGTCATGAAAGCTGAGTTTTGTTCAGATTTCCAAGGAGAAATCTCACTCCCAAAGATCCTTATCAATCTGTGACGTGGTGATGCTCACAAACAGGAGCTGGTATGAAATGGGTACAAAAGAGAACAAATTAAAACAACAGCCAGAGAGCAGCAGGGTCATTCCTCTGGGAATGAAACCCACATTTCTGTGCCTTTCCTGGAGCTGCCAGGAAAGCATCTGCCAGCCCAGAGCATCACTCACCACGGGCAGGCATTGCTGTTTCATCCTGCCAGGGGAATATGGAATTTTACCTGCTGGATCTGTTTGTAGCCCTTAGAAACGGAGCTGTTTATGCCCCAGGGCTGGGGCCTTATGCAAGAGCAGGCCCTGGTGCCACCCAGAGCTGAGCCCTGCTGCTGGCAGAGAGATCTGCTCCTGAGAGAGATCCTGATCCTGCTCCTGTTCCTGCTCCTGAGAGAGGGATCTGCTCCTGAGAGAGATCCTGATCCTGCTCCTGTTCCTGCTCCTGAGAGAGGGATCTGCTCCTGAGAGCGGGATCTGCTCCTGAGAGAGGGATCTGCTCCTGAGAGAGATCCTGATCCTGCTCCTGATCCTGCTCCTGGGAGAGAGATCCTGCTCCTGCTCCTTCTCTTGCTCTGGCTCCTGCTCCTGGCAGAGGGATTTTACTCCTGCTCCTACTCCTGCCCTGCTCCTGCTCCTGCTCCTGCTCCTACTCCTGCTCCTGCCCTGCTCCTACTTTTGCTCTACTCCTGCTCCTACTCCTGCCCTGCTCCTACTCCCACTCCTACTCCTACTCCTGCTCCTGCTGCTGCTCCTACTCCTACTCCTGCCCTACTCCTGCCCTGCTCCTGCCCTGCTCCTGCCCTGCTCCTGCCCTACTCCTACTCCTGCTCCCGTCCCTGCTCCTATTCCTGCTCCTGCCCTACTCCTGTCCTGCTCCTACTCCTACTCTTAGTCCTGCTCCTGCCCTGCTCCTACTCCTGCCCTACTCATACATATCCCTGCTCCTGCAGGGAGCGAGGCCACCTCAGCCCCAGCTGGAGCACCTGCAGGTGCCTCCTGCTGCCCCTCTGCTCCTGCTGCCCCTCTGCTCCTGCTGCTGCAGAGTTCTCTGCTCCTGCTGCTCAGCTTTGCTGCCCAGCCCCGGGACCATTTGAGGAATTGCTCAAAAAGCTTCTTTCCCTGTTGCATTCCTTGGATTCCTCCTGAGGGTCAGCATCCTGTGCACACCTTTCCTGTGCTGCAGCTCTTGGGGAGGATGCCCTGCCCTTCTCTCCATGCCTGCTTGGTATTCACAGACTGTCCTGGAAAGGTGCTGCTGCTGCAAGGTCAGGGATGGGAAGGATTGATGCAGCTTAGTGCTGCAAGCAGTTAATTAACATCAGTAAATTGTTCCGTGCAGTTGCCTCCACGGGTCAGCCCCTCTCTCTAAAGAAAGGCTGCATTCGTTTGGAAATTAAATTGCCTGTAAGGAACAAAGAATCTTGCTTTGTCCTCATCATGGGAATGGTTTGGGTTGGAAGGGACCTTAAAGCTCCTCCAGTTTCATCCCCCTTTCACTATCCCAGCTTGCTCCAAGGCTGGGTGGGAGCAAGACAAACAAAATCCACCCCCAGGTTCAGGCCGAGCCCAGCAGAGCTCTTGGGTTCTTGTCTGGGCACTCCTGAAATCAAAATCAGGCTTGATACCCTGGCAGGGGCTGGAATGAGAGGAGCTTTAATGTCCCTTCCAACACAAACCATTCTGTGATGCTGTGAATCTAATTCTGGGCATATTTAACTTGATTTGTGCCTGGAAGGCAAAAACCCAGCAGAGCCCAGACACAGAACAGCCACGAAGAGAGATCACAGCCTTGCAGAAGCAACAAGTCTCAGAAGGGTTGGTAAATGTACCCTCAGTGTCTTCATGCAGATTATCCAGACTGAGTTTGTGTTCTAACAATGTTAAAAACAACAAAGAAAACCCCCAGCTTTGCATTTTGCACAGAATATTCATCTAATTCCTAACCATCAGTCCCACCCTGGCTCAAACCTGTCATTTCCATGTCTACATGAGCCCGTCAAGACCTCCTGTCTCAATTAAAAACATCCCTGTGCACATCTTTCATTACAAACATCAAATTCAGGAGCAGTGGCTGCTGGCATTCTGGCAGTGTCAGGGAGCTGCAGCTGCACCAGGCCACAGCAGAAAAGAGAAATAATTTGTGTTAATAACACCTCCTGTGCCTCTGGGTTGGTGTCAGGGGAGCCTTGGGGCTGAGAGTGGGGAAGGAGGATTGGATGCTGCTGAACCCAGCTGGGAAACCTCAAACCTGGGCTCCAGGATGGAGCTGGGCTCATTCCAGGATGGAGCTGGGCTCAGTGCAGGATGGAGCTGGGCTCACTCTGGGATGGAGCTGGGCTCAGTGCAGGATGGAGCTGAGCTCAGTTCAGGATGGAGCTGGACTCACTCCAGGTCACTCCAGGATGGAGCTGGGCTCAGTGCAGCTCTGTGGGAGATGCTGGAGATGCCTGAGGCTTTTTAACCCCGT